TCAACAGACGTAAAACGACGTCGCGACGCAGTTTATGCGAGAGCCGGGGGGCTTATGTGGGGGACCCCGGGGGTCTCGCCATGAGGTTCAGTCTTGTCCATCATAAAAAGACAATTTGTCAGCTCTGCAATGCAGGCTGTGAAATGTGCTTTCAAACGAGGAGAGGCGGAAGCCTTGTGTATGATTCATCGTCAGCGATACAACGGCGTATCGAAAATAGGTCATTGTGGGCGCGGGCATTTTTTGACATTGAAATTAGTTTCCAGAAACTCGGCGAGTAAAAATTACTCGAGGAGTAATTCCACTTGCGGCCGGCCTTGGATTGCATTGAGACAGCAAAATATATAGCGGTGGGATTATAATAATTGCATTCTGTGTGCTGGGCCTGAATGTGTAATGCACAAAAAGTGTTATTAACCGAGTGCATTTGGTGACTTTTGCCGTCTCTTCTTTCTCGAACGCGCGCCCCTAACAAGAACACTGGCGATGGTGCTCACACCTTATTTGCCCACAAATGTGCGATTCACACTTTTTGGCTTTTGTGTTTGGCGTTGCGCAGCTTCTCGTTACGCACTCGTACTTTAATTGTGATTAATTCTCGCACTCGGCGCGCAATTCAGTGACTCACGCTGCAACTCGCTCTATTTAATTACTGCCCATGGTGCTGCCATCGTGACATCGCGTGGAATGCCCGCGCAGTTGTGGCGCTGATGCATGGCCCTCCGATACGTCTTCGGGGCCGTGCTGCGTGTTATTCGACTTCCCAGTCATCATTACTGTCACAGTACCAGAATTAATGCGATTAACTGGCATCATAAAATCATGAATGTACACGTTATGACATTTGGATCAACAACAACCACCGCTGTTCACCACGAAGTGGCGGTGACGTCACCACCACGGCGCTTGTGCCATGCTAGGTGCACTTTGAGGCCGTGTCAAGTGGCAGGAAGGCATGGAACAGACCCAGGTGCTATGGGCTGACTGACTGAGATGGCTGGCAGATGCACCAACTGTGCTCCCCACTGTGCCAACTCTCTTCCGTTTAGCCGCCCGGCGCTCCGCTCTTTGTTGTGAGCGTGGCTCCTCTTCCCTTCGTCATTGCTGGTGGGCGACTGCTTGGACATTGACACAGAAAATGGAACAAAGGCTGGAAAGGGCACAAAGCATTGTGGAAAGGTGCACGCTGTAGCATGCCGTACAACTTGAAATTACACGGGAGAGCCACAGAACAATCACGAAACAAAAGTACGCAGTCCCGTGGCAGCAGCATTACAGTTGCCACTTCAAAAGTATGAGCATCAGCAAGAGCTCACAGGATCACAGCGAATGGTGCCAAAGCAGTGAGAACAAAATAAAATCTGACAAATGTGCAAAGTAGTAACAACAACAAAAAAAACCGCGAGGTTCTTCACAGCTCGAGCGACTTTCGGTCTGTCGCGACGGAGGAAGCCGCGACGGCGATGTCGGGGCCCCGTTTTTCGGGCTGCTAACGACGGGCATCGTAACTGGACAACATTTCGCAGCCTCGCTCAATTTGGCAGGGCTCGACGCTCAATAAGGGGCAGCGAGCGCCTGAGCTGAAATAAACATGAGCCGGACCCGGGTCGAAGCGAGCGTGGCCAAGAAACAGCCTGAGAGATGGCAACGGCAGCACGCGAAAAAAAATCAACGCGAGCACGGGGCCCCGTGCCACAGACGAGGCCGCAATGCAATGCGCGAGTGAGATGGATACGTGCGGTCAAAGTGGATTTCAAAGAATCCAACATTCTGCCATCAAAGCGGGACTTTTCTGCCGAGTCGCCCGTTTCTGGTCGAAAATCTCGAGGCGCTTCTAATGCTTCTTGCGGAGTTGAACAGCATCATTCTTGAATGCTTACTGTTCTTCTAAAGTAGCCATTTGTTTGCTTTATGCTCCACTAATGCGCTATGCATATTTTAAACCTGCCATTCCGGGATGGTGCAGTTCTGCCAATATATATTTATACTTTATGACCAGAGTTATTTTAATATGCAATGCTATTTGCTGACTGGATGCTAAACACTGAGAGAGAGAGAGAAAAAAAACATAAAATCATGAATAAGAGTATATTAATATATCCGATGACATATCGGTCAGAAAAGTTGATATTGACAACATAAATTGGAACAAAAGCTAAAAAGTGCTTTTGTGAAGATGCGTACGTGTGGAATTTCACTGGAAGACAGAGGAAACGTGTGGAACACAAAACATGCGCAAGTTGGAGACATCATATAGAACTGTTTAGAAAACGTTTGGTGGGCTTGGGCAGGCCACGTGACTGGCAGGGATGATGGCCGGTGGTTAACGCCGAGCGATGGAGTGGCAGCAAACGAAGAGACAATGCTCCAGAGTACATCCGCCGTGGAAACGAATCGATGAAATCTCCTTTTGCGCAGACGCTAGACAAATCGTCGCGTCTCAAGATCGTGAGAGACGGGGGACAACATGGTGAGGATCTTAACCGAGCAAGTGTAGAACGTACGCTGAAATTTTGTTTCCCAGTGTCCATGCTTCGGATCTATGTCACAGCGAGCAATATGCACTCATTGAAACGTTTTCTTTAAGGACCGTGACGTGGTTCGTTTTTAGTCTGATCCCTTGCTGCCTTCAGTAATTAATCGTCCCAGGTATCCAAACTCTGCTGTGTTTTCTGGCTGTGTTCCTGCAATAAACATCTTCATGTGTTTATTGAACATAATGGGCATTATTTTGGGAAGAGAGACGGTCCCTTGTGAGAACAGTCTCTTTTGCAAATGAACAGTGGTAACAAATGCACGGCATACACATTCAGTGCAACAAAAATACAAATAGAATACGTATGCGCTACGAATGGTCGAAACATTCACCCGAATATTTAAACGGATAAATATTCAATGTCAGTACATTGTAATAATCATTATCGTTATCGTCAGAAATAATCAGCCACGGGCATGTTATGATCGTGTATTTTTAATTGTGATAATTAAATGTCAGAGGCATGAAGGTGCCGCTTGTGTTGCCTTCGTTGCTTGTTTCACACATTCATGAACACCATTTACTCGTTCATGCAGTGCAAATAATGTGTGACATGGCAGAGATGATATGTCAACAGAACGAATATCGTTCGATACCAACTGCAGAGGATGCCACCATGATGTAACGATTGGCACGCTGGTCTTGCACTTCAGAGATCGTCGGTTTGATCTCCGGATGCAGTCGTTGAAAGTTTATCGAAAATCCCCGCCCCCTACTCTGTCCACCCAGCAGTACAAATGGGTATACAAATTGATCAATCGGTTGGTTGCGTGCGGTGGGGGTGAAGTGTGGGTACTCCCACCTCTTCAAAAATGTCTGCCCAGCATGGAAGAATTAGGCCTAAACACCCTCTCAAGGGGCTGCCTAGAGCTCCTTCAAGTGGAGGTCCTTCTGCAGGGCTGCAATTTTACCTTTAGCCATGATTGTAGAACAAACTAACATGTATAATTATGAAGGGTTTGAGTATACACACAACATCTTGGTGACCATATGTTAACTACCTCGCCTGGTGTACATGAGGTTGTGTGTTCGATCCCAACCCTCACGCCTGTATATTTGGAGTTTGCATGTTCTCCCCGTGGTGGTATGGATTTTCTCCGGGTCCTCCGGTTTTACCCTCCACATTTAGAATCAACACGCGTTTATTTGGCTGCTATACATTTACACATGATTAGCCACTTCGTTGAGCTATCATTTGTGGCCAGTTCACTTCTGAAAAAGAGCTTCATAGCTCATTCGGCCTTACCTGGTAAAATAAAAAAAATAGTTAGTCATTTAAAAAACAATTTCATAGGGGAACAGAGGCACAGTGGTTAGCGCGTTGCACTACAAACCCGACCACCTGAGTTCAATTCAAGCTCATGGCCAAAACCTCAAATGAGTACCTGGTGCGGTGTGTAGATATCGCCACTGGGGAGACAAAGGCGACCGGGAATGGTCTTGTCCACCAACCCCCCCTTGTGCCGTGCTGGGCTTCATAGGTGCACTTGCCCAACCAACTGTTACGGCTACATGGGGGATCTTTGCCTTTTGTCTGCAATGTTATGTTTGGGTGTGTTGCTGGTGAGGGCGTGAGTATTCATGCCAGACACTGGCAACGTTCCAGGCTCAGCCACAACAAGGATGAGATGGATTAGAGAAGTGGCACTGCTGCTCCGATTTAAGAAGGCGCCATGGCTGACTGTAACCAGATTTTTATTATTTTATAATCTGAGAGTCCAAGGTCACAGAACGCAACATGGAAAACACCTCATGAATTATATATAGCCCGCCCTGTGCTACATGAAGCACGAATATCCCTCCCTCTCAACTGTCTTTTTTTCCTCCACTTAGTGACTTAAACAATTAAATGTCCAACAGAATATATTCATTCTAAAGTCACTTGACCTTTAATTTTATGTCCAGTTTTGTAAAAATGAGTTCAAATAATTGAGGGAGGAAAAAACTGAATATTAATACCCTGAAATTCAAGTCAAGCCAAAATTAATCCTATAAACGCTTGAGGTCCCACGTGTTTTATTCACAAGTCATACCATGTAAAGGTGCTCATGGATTATGATCGTACACCAGTGCAGACTGTATTTCATTCAATTATCTCTTTTTTTTAACCAGCAGTAATTTAAAATTATGGAAACATTTTATAAATTGCAGATTGAAAACGCTCAGATGAAGCAATATCTTTAGATCCCAAGACGCCTTGCCCACTGTCAGATAAATTATGGTCACACTTGAATTAATCATGTTTGGCCAAATTATCTGAATGACTTAATAACCTGGCATTTATTTCATTCACGACCCTAGTTAGTCATTACAGGCTCAATACACCTGCTATTTTTGTAAAGGCTGTTTAATAACACTGCACAGAAGTGCCCCATCTATTCTCATTATGATAATAAGGCTGAGCCCCTAATGTACCCCTTATGTTCCCTTACTCCACTTGTATTTTTTGTCGACGAACCTGAAGGAAGGAGGCTGTGAGGACAGTGCAGCGATGCTGCGTGGCCTTCACGCGGCTCTTCTCAGTCAAGGCCCACATCGCTTAGCCTCGTCTGCTTGCAAGTGAGTGCACAAACACGCTTTACTGATTTATTTACAAAGTTCTTACCGAGCGCTCGCAGCTCACGTTGCGCATGCAAACGGCGCGCGGCTCACGCGGCACGCGGCGCTTGCATTTCCACTTCGGCTGCAACAGTGGAATGAATGGTGAAATTTCCTTTTTTTTTCCGTAAATAAAATTACAAGAAAATGTATTGGCCGTTTGTACACGTGTGTGAAAGTGCAGTGTGCATGCCTAACCTTGCAGCCATTTGGGTCAATCCAATAATGGATGAGGGCCTCACCACGACGTACAGGTCCGAGAGGCTATTTTACCACACTTTGCCATGCTGGTAAAAGTGGAAATTGTTCAAGCACGGGATGTTGGAGCATAGAAGTATAGTACCACAACGAGTTGCCCTTCCCTGCTCTTCACTAATAATGTAGCCCTCGCTGCAGCCTACCATACCTGTTTTATGCACAGTGGACGCCCATTCAAACAATATCCAAGTGGGACCCTGCTTAGCCTCTCGAGACCCGATGAGAATGGGGCGCACTCCGAGTGATTACGGTCACTCTCTATATTTCCGTGAACTCACCGATAATGAAATGCTCTTGAGGTGACTACAACATTACAAGCACTTCCCGAGCAATAATGTCTGCAACCGCTCAGCACACCGAAATAAGCCCTCGCTATAAAGGGAGAGAAGCCGTTCGGCGGGAATTTACTGTCCTCACTGCGGATGCCGAAATAAAGTAATAACGAATGAACAAAGTGAACATGAATCTTGATTTGAAGCTTTCGTGACTGCAGGAATCCATACTCTTTGGTTCTTTCGGTAAAGTCACGTAGGTAGAAAATTTATAGATCACGACGTTTCGATAACAACACAAGCAACCGTCATCAGGTGAAACAAACAAACAGAAGAACTCCTGACGTAGGAGGCGTCTACGTCAGCAGAAGAACTCCTGCTGTGTGTGTTTCACCTGATGACGGTTGTTTGTGTTGTTATCGAAACGTCGTGATCTATTAATTTTCTACCTACGTGACTTTACCGAAAGAACCAAAGAGTAAGTGAACATGAAATGAAAGTGTATCAATGGCCAACAACATTGGAGTTGTTTGTGTGTGTTCCATGGGCTTTCTGAAATGTCAGCCGTTTGGAAAAAGTTACATTTGATGACTGCCGAAATAATGCTAAATGTATTTTCCCACTATGCTCCACAGCCAGTACTCACATCGGTCAAACTCTCTGTATTTCCAGTTACACAAAGCTGTATTGGACTGCAACGGCGATTGGTAGAGGAAAATAAATCGTGCATCTACTCACATGCACACTTTCAGGCAAACACTCAATGAGATTACGTAAGTGGATTCATCTGTAACCCATGGAGGCCCAATTTAAAAATAAATAGGCCTCTGTGACCTTACGATGGACAGGGGATGGCTTAACGGATTTATCAGGCTTTACAGTTTTACCAAAATAGACAGACGAAAAAAAATGAGACATTAATAACAGACACAAAGAGCTGCATGCACGTCTCTGGACAGTTGAATTGTTATGATGAGGGTGCTGATAATGATGCGGGGGGAGCAACTGAAGCGTTATATATATATGATGAAGCAACGAGGTGCTTTGGTGAGTGAGACATTTCGAAATACCATCGCGTGGATATAAAATCCCCACCAGCTACGGGCAGAGCCCGCTTTCACCGTCTGCTGGAAGATGGTACTGCCTTACCCGTCATAATCACATCAACAGAGTTTGGTCTCCGTGCTGATCTGATGATCGTGCCATCAAAAATATGATAAGGTTTTCCACTGTCAAAACTCCTAATCCTGCAGATGGAAAAAAAAATGGAAGGATTTTTCTATATTCTTTTTAACTGCAGAAATGATCAGATGACAGCTCGTGAGAAAATAAATAAATGAGGCCGCTTTCACAGCGGAGCTCTGTTATACTCGGGCCTTTCTTTCCCCTAATGGTACATCTGATGTCTATTAATTCTAGCCTTGAGTGATTGTTCAAGTCTAATTAGTGTGTGATCATTTCATTAACTATCGAATAATGTATTTATATCATAGTGTCCAGGATACATATTTCAAAATTGAAATGAGGTCAAAAAAGAGATTGCGGTGAGACAAACACTTCTTTGCACATATGTAAAACACATTCTTATAAATCAAGTTAAAAAACTATATGTAACTTACATACCCTGATCTTAGGTTTTATGATGGAAGAAAGAACGTCGAGTTTGTACTTTTTTCCCATCGTACATCTGCCTGTGATTCTGGGAATCGAACGACCTAATTGGTGATGCTGCACTGGCATTGGTGAACAAGTACAGATAACAACGACAAACTCAACAAAGTCCTCAATAATACTGTGGCCCGAAAATAACAAAAATAAAAATTATTAATTCGGTGACGTTTTAGGCATTGGCCTCCTTGTTCGACCATTGCCCGCGACGTCGCCTGTTTTTACCAGAATCGGAACCATGATTTATTTCGACTGGAGGAATCCGATGAGCTATGAAGCTCTTTTTTATAGTACGGGGGGGGGGGGGGTGGAGTGTTTCTGGCGCACCTGTAAACTGTTTTCATCCATTTTTTTTAATCTCTTCTGGTGACCACATGAAGGTCAAAGGTTATTTTTTTCCCAACGAAACAACGAATCGCGGGGTTCACATTCTACACGCAGACACATCGGTGCCGGGGTCCAACCGACGCTTCTGTATGAGCCGACATGTGGTCAGGATAGCATGTAAGTTCTACGAGGTCTGTGGATGTCTTCCGTGGGACGTCATAAAGAGGGGGGGGGAGGAGGTGTACCTCTGACACGGGGAGGGGGGCGGTGGAGGGGTGGGGGGTAATTAGGGGAAAAAGGAGGGGGAGTAACCCAGCCACCCTGAAAATAAAAAAAAAACATACAAGCGGATTTATTTTTACTTTTTTCTTATTTTCTACCCTTCTCTCCGCTCCCCCGGGCCCCATCTCTAGATGTTCTAGATGAGTTCCTTCCCTCTCTTTCGGCCTCCCACCCCGCCACAGTATTTCACTGCAGGTACTGAATCAAGAGTGGGGGGGGGGGGGGGGAGGGGGTCTGGGGTCATCTGGTTGCAAACTGCTCACATGAAGGTCAATGTTAATGAAACACTGAGTTTTCACGTGAGCAACGTTCGACCCCCCAATAAGTTCCTATTGGGTTCGATCGTCGTGTGTATCATGATAACGTTTAACCGTAACCCCCCACACCATCTAACAGCGTCAATCAAAATCAAAGTTATCAGTGTGGCCAAATATGCAAATTTAGTTAATTTATCGGCAAAACCATAATGTTGAAAGGCCAACATTTTTTGACGAATTTATATTAACGACATTTCTCTGGAGATTAGATCCAGCATCATTAGGGGTTAACATGGGCTCAGATCGCGTGAGATATCAGCTCTGGATGATTAACACCAGATGATTTTCCTTGCTTATGAACATTTCTAGTTTTGGTAAAATAAAACTAAATAAATGTACATGTTTGGCCACATGACAACTTAATTTGATTGGCTCTGTCAGGTGGCATAGGGTTATAGTTTAATATCGACAGGTGAAATCCATGTTGCTGACAAAAATTTAATGTAAAATGAAATCTAACGTTAAACCATCATTTGTATTGCTTACAACATTTTAACTGACAGCTATTTGGGGCGCCACGGTGGAAAGATGTCAACTACCTCGCCTGGTATGGAGGAGGTCGTGGGTTCGATCCTGACCCTGTTGCCTGCTGTATATTTGGAGTTTGCATGTCTCTTTCTCCCCGTGGTCGCGTGGATTATTCTCCAGGTCCTCTGGTTTTTCCCTCCACATGTAGAAACGTGCGTTTATATAATTCGGCTACTGTAAATTTCAACATGATAAGCCACTTCGTTGAGCTATCATTGGTGGGCAAATCGATTCTGAAAAAAAGAGCTAATAACTCAGTGGGTTTTAGTTGGTAAAATAAAATTAGTTTAGTTTTGTTTTAGAATTATTTCTGCTCATGCTGAATTCTAACAATGGGGAATTCAGGCCAGCTGTGTTCAAGTGACATTGGCCCAGATAATTAAAGCCCCAGCTCGAGATGGCAGCCAAGTCGATATTCTTTGGTTCTTTCGGTAAAGTCACGTAGATAGAAAAATAATCATAAAAAATAAAGTGAATAAAAATAATAAAAATAAAATAAAAATAATAAACAACAAAAAACCACTCATGTAGACTGTAGCCTGGTTCTTAATCGGAGTGAGTGTACTGACAGTCTATCATGTAGACGGTAGCCTGGTTCATATTCTTGGTTCTTTCGGCATAGTCACGTTGAAGGGAAACAAAAACATATATATAAAACAAGAATATGAATCACTGCAGTCACGAAAGCTTTAAATCAAAATGTAGCCTGGTTGTTAAGTTTGGTGAGTGTACTGGCAGTCTATAATGTAGACTGTAGCAATGGTTATTAAACTGAGTGAGTGTACTGGCAGTCTATAATGTAGACTGTAGCCTGGTTATTAAGCTGGGTGAGTGTACTGGCAGTCTATAATGTAGACTGTAGCCTGGTTTTTAACCTCGGTGAGCTTACTGGCAGTATATAATGTAGTCTGTAGCCGGGTTCTTAACCTGAGTGAGCGTACTGGCAGTCTATAATGTAGATTTATTCTTGGTTCTTTCAGTTATTTGAATATAAGAAAAATATAGTTAAAATAAATATATATATATAAATACGAAAAAAACACACGAAGTATGTATTGGTGAGGCAGTGTCTCACCAGGGCCGTTAGTACATCAGCATTCAATCTTTGTTGGACCAAATTTTCAATGATTGCAAACATACACGTACACCAAGCTCTCAAGGCGAATGGATATTCTGACTACACAATCCGCAAAGCCATCACCCCAACCATGAGGAAGGAGCCATCTGAGGATCCAATCAAAACCATCACCTTGCCATAAAAAGCAGGGGTAACCAAAAATATTTCCAAAATCATGAACAAACACAAGTT